ACAGGCTGTTGGGCAGCCCTTGGAAACCAGATTGAAACAGACAGATCTGGGTTTTCGAAAGAAAATGACAATGGCAGATTGGTGGATGAATTGGAGCATGAAGAAAGGAGTTACAGAGCTTCGTGCAATTGTGCAAATGAGCTAACTGAGTGAGGACAGTAGAGAAGGGAAGGACCTAGTCAGAATGTGTGTGTGAGTGCGTGCTCTAGAGTCACCCATGGACACATGGTGGCAAAGAACACACAACCCACACACACACACACACACAATGTTGAAATAAAATTCCTGGAGCAGATGAGAATGGGGGCCTTTCTGGAGAATGATGAAAACACTTGTGTTCTTGATACTGATGGTAGTCATGGGCAAATGCATATTTCAAAACAGAGCCAACTAGTATACTTAAAATGAGTGTATTTTATATTCCCATAAGAAGCACTAAAGATAGCAGAAGTATAATTCCTTATAAAATATAGCAAGTACTAAACAAATTATTGAAAAACTATTAACAATTGACTAAGGAAAAAAAAATACCCAGGAAACTGCTGTGCACATTATCAGTTGCAAACACATTATGCAGCAAGCAGTCTGCCATTGTTCTATCTGCTTCAGAAGCCAAGGTCAGATGTACTGGGTCACTAGCCATTTGGGGGGTCTACACTGGGGGAACTCAACCCCTACTCTTCCCACCTCCATGCTTGGCCCCCACTTTCTCCGCCCAGTGTCATCCTGTTGACTTTCCCACTTTGGAGCAGCGGAGACAGTGAAGGTACTTGAAGAATAGAACATGACTCATCTCTGAGTAACACAAAAAACGTTCCCTTATTGATTGATTTTAGGCTGATGGCCAATACAGCGTCCTCATTTGGCACTGTTCCCTCAGCATCACTTCCGAACTGTCCTTCCAGTGCTCAGCTTAAAACCCACTTTGTACAGGAAACCATTTTTAAGTTGGTAGAAAGGGGAAACCTGATCCTTCCATTCAGCTACCAGGATGGGCAAGTCACTCTGAGTAATCACAGACTTCTTGGATTTGTTTTGGGATCTTGGGTCCTGTCACTAAGTCTTTGTGACCTTGAAGAAGGTAGGGGCAATGAAACCTACCTCGTAGAATGCTGTAGACTGAGTCGGTTAACACGAGTGGAAATGTCAAGCATAGCACTGAGTAGGCACTCAATAAACACACGGCTATGCTTTCTGAGCAATTTTTCTTTGTGCTCTTTGCAAGCACCCTCGCCAGTTCTGTATGCCCTCAGGAGACATTTCAGAATGATGTTTAGGAAGTGTGCAGGTCAAGGATAAAGATGGGAAAGATTTATGCAATAAATATGTAGATGAGAAGAAATTGTTCTCAGGAGATGGGGGGAAAATGAATTTGATTCAGAGGTGGTGGCAAAGGTCTCGATTTGCATTTCCTTTTCCCATTCATTTACAATCATATCTTGCCAAAAGGAGGGGACAGAAGGTCTCATCTTGATGAATGTGGAGCCTGCAAAACTCTGTGCCAGTACACCTGGTATTTATTCATGCCAGCTGGGAGAGGAGCTTGGGTCTCAGTGTTTTACTACTGTGGTTTCCTGGGCTGGGCAGCTGGGTGCCTAATAATGATAAAAACCATAATAATACTTCATAATTATGTACTGCCCTCTGCCAGACTTGGATTTAATTACAAAGACTATGACGGAACTGGCAACAGCTTGTTCCCTGTTGGGGTGCAATACCCAAGGGCCTGGAAATACAAAGTGAAGTGGTGACTGCAACCCCCTACAGGGCCTATCCTGGCAACTCACCCAGAGTTCTTTGGGTCTGAGGCTCATCATGTGAAACAAAGAGTACTTTTAAATTGCCCACATGTACTTGGCACTGCCGAGTAAAGCTGTATTTATGAAGCAAATGCTGTCACATGTGGGGGTATAACATAATGGGATCCCAGACCTAGAAGGTACCAAGCCAGGTGATATCATTCACACTCCAGTAGGTGAGTTCATTGACTTTGCCTTCTTATTGGGCTAGGACTGCTTTTGTGGTAGCCTGATTCAACCGTTGGGGGACTGACCAATTCACTGAACACTCAATTGTGAGCACCTGGTCTGAGCCAAGGCACTGTACAGGAACAAAGAGGTATAACAGTACTCCTGCTGGACATAGTAGCTCATAGTAATCTCAGCACTCAGGATGAGACAGGACTGTCATGAGTTTCAGAGCTATAGAGGAAGACCCCTGATGGGGGTTGTCTTTCTGCATATATGTTTCTCTTATTGGTTATCTCTTATTCTCTTATTCTCATTGGTTAATGAATAAAACACTGTTCAGCCAAAGAGGCAGGAAGATAGGTGGGTCTAGGAGACAAGGGGAATTCTGGGAAAGGTAGGCAGAGCGAGCCAGCCACACAGTCTCTATGTAGCCCACCAAAGGAATAACCGGTCCAGGCATTCTTCGGTAAGCCAAGACCACATGGAAATACATAGACTAGTAGGGTTAATAATTAAGACAAAGATAGCCAATAAGAAGCTCTAGCCACCAGTCAACAGTTTAATCACTAATATAGCATACATGTGTTCATTTGGGGCTGAAGCAGTGGCGGGACCTAGTGGGATGGAAAGCTCTAGTTTCAGACTCCATTTCAAAACAAACAAACAAAAAAAGGCAAAACAAAAACAAACCACCACCCTAAAAAAAATCCAAAACAAACATACAAAACCTCTCAAGTGCCCCATCTGATTCTGACCTCCGGGGAGGACTTTCGTCTTGAAGCAATAACAGAAAACAGGACAAGCTCTCAGTAGATGAATGAAACCAAGACCCACTGAGAAAGGACCAAGGCTGTTCCCTCTGAAGATAAGAGGAGAAGCAAGGCGATTGCAGTGAAGATCTGGTCAGCAATCACAGGAGATTCTCCTAGGCCTCCCTTTGTTTTAGTTTTTGTAATGCATATCACCCCTGGCTTACCTAGTTATTAATTTACTCCATACTGTTTGTCTTGCCCCATTCAGCAGCCTTGTCAGTTTTGTTGACCACTAAGTCTTGAGCCAATACTGAAATGCTCAATAAATATTGGCCTAATGATTAAATGGCACAAATGAGGAAGCGACAGTGGTAATGGAGAGAGGGCACTTAGTAGACATAGTCAAAGTAACACCATGAGAGGTGTTAGTGTGCCGGCTCGCTAGCTTTGTGTCACTACAACAATCAACTTACGGAGGGGAACAAGTTTATTCTGGTTCAGTTTTGGAGGTTCCAGTCCTGATCTGGTAAGATTCTTCTTTACATGCCTTCTGTGGGGTAAAAGGTCAGCACACTGGGCCATGTTCTCCTTTGTTTTTTGTTGCTGTGAAAAACACCAGTGCAGGGAGGAAAGGGTTAATTTAATCTTACACCTCATCACCAAGGGAAGTTGAGGCAGGAATATGAGGAGGAATCAAAGCAGAAACCACAAAGGAAAACTGCTTACCAGCTTGCTCCTAAGCTCATATTCAGTTAGCTACATTTCTTATACAGCCTAGGTTCACTGCCCAGGAAAGGCACTGTAAACGTTAGTTGGGCCTCCCTACATCATGATCAATTAATAAAACACCCATGAGCCTGCCTGATCAAGGCAGTCCTCCATTTGAGTCCCCCTCCTCAGGTAACTGCTACGGGTCAGGTTGACAGCTGAGGCTAACTAGAAGAGGGCAGGGGTGCATTGCAGAACAAAACTCGTCAGATCATAGACAGAAAGTGAAGCAAAGAGATGGGGGGGGTGTCTCAAAACTCACCATGAGGGCACACTCCCCACACACAATGACCTAAAGCTTCCCACTAGGTTCTCTGCCTTTTCAAAATTTCCATCACCTTTGTGCCAGGAACCAAGAGTAACTCACAGGCCTGTGCAGAACAGCGCAGATCCAAACTATGGCAGATAGAGAGATGCTGGAACAGTAAGAAAGTGGATGGGGGATTACTCTCAGGTTCCAGGAGTTCTGGGGAGGAAGACACAGTGGTACTACAAAACAAGATGAGGGAAAGAGGAGGTGCAGGCTTTGCAAACTTCAGAAGGTGTGAGTTCCAAACATTACTCCAACAGACAAGAGTCTAAAAGCCCCTTGTATGCAGAGCTGGGCCTCCTTGACCGTGCATTCAACTGTTGATTCTATCTGAATGGTTAGATCAACTAGAGTGCAATAAAAGTGTGCCTTCCAACGAGGACTGAGGGTCAGACCCTGGGACTTTCAAGGACTCAATAGAGAACAGACATTAAAAATAACTGAAAAGGGCAATCTGAGTGTACAATTCGAAGAAAGGCAGGGTGGGGGGCTGAAGGAGTCCAAGAAAAGCCTTCAAGAAAAATGTAATCGGCAGTCTGGCTATAGAGTGAGATTGCTTCAAACACACAGGACTAAAAAGTGACCCCTGAACTTGGATATATTGATGTCACTGACAAAATGTCCACTTTTCAGTAGATTCGCAGGGAGAACAGACTGCATTTGAACCATGAGGTAAAACGGGAAAAGCACTGGAAAGCGAGCGTAGGTATGTGTAAGAGGTCGGTCAGTTTATGAATGGAGACAAGTTTCTAAAGGGCCAGCTGAGGAATCTCCGAGCATCACAGTGTCCCAGATACACTTCTCTGTCCTTGCAGCCATTTCTATGGGGGGGTGCTGACCAGATAAAGTACAAGCATAAAGAGGGAGCTACAACCCCTCCCTTCCCACCTCCCCACCCCGTGTATGAGTCATGCATGCAGCTGAGAGCGTGCATGGGGTGCCCGGTTACCCGTGAATACTGGAATTCAGTGACTCGGATGGCTCCATTCTGGAGGGAGCCGGGGAGACTCA